GCGCCGCGCCTCTTCCATATCCGATAAAAGTACGTATAAAAGTGGTGGAGCGATTTCTCGGCGCGATTTCGGCAACGTCGACGACCTGCTGGCGCGAGGGGGGAGAAAGTCGCGCGCGTTCACCACCCATCGTTCCGCGAAAAACCGGCGTTCCTCGATTGTTTCAGACACCGCGATGGATTTTCAATTCGGCGAGGGTCGCGAGTGCGTTAATTGCGGGGCTATATCGACGCCGCTTTGGAGGAGGGACGGCACCGGGCATTATCTGTGCAACGCGTGCGGACTCTATCACAAGATGAACGGAATGAACAGACCGCTGATAAAGCCGTCCAAACGGCTGGTAAGTCGATGATGGAAAGCAACCGTGTCGTTGCGTGGATCGCGTTTTAGTCGCGGGCCGTCTACCATTACGAACCACGAACCCGTGCGGATGTCGCTCGCTGATTTCAGACAGCCACCAGGCGTTTGGGTTTGTGCTGCACGAATTGCGGTACCCTCACTACCACTCTCTGGAGGCGCAACAACGAAGGCGAACCTGTTTGCAACGCTTGCGGTCTCTACTTTAAGCTGCACGGCGTCAACAGACCTCGCGCGATGCGCAAAGACGGTATTCAGACGCGAAAACGAAAACCGAAGAAAACGCCCGAGTCGAACGTCAGATCGTCCACGGTGGATCACGAAACAACCGCCGTCTCGGCCGCTTCTTCTCCGTCCACGGGTAAGCACGGAATCCACAGTCCTCGCGATCCTTTTCGCCATTCGTTCGTTTTCCACACGGCGATCTTTCTGCCATTCACAGAATTGAAGGGTAGTCAACAGCAGCAACAGCAGCAACAGCAGCAACAGCAGCAGCAACAGCAACAGCAACAGCAACAGCAACAACAGCAGCAACATCAAATCGAGGTGTCCAAATCGACCGCCGGTGGCGCGTCCAGTTCGTCGGACAGACCGGTCTATCTCGGGCATACGTCTCTATTGGCGACCGGAAGCGTAGCTACCGTAAAAACCGAACCGCGAAGTTGCGACGGCATTGTCGGTCAACCGTATTCCTCGTATTACCAGCATCCTCATCAACTGGGGGTGGCGACCAGCGAGCATCAACAGCAAACGTACTACGGGAGCCAGGAAGCTCCCTATCATCATCAACATCACGTTACCGCGGCTGCCAAATTGTTAGCCTCCACGTAATTTGATCTCAACGTCGAAGAATCGACGGGACGATGTCCGCGATGCGCCAATCGCCGACGCGAAACGGACGACGAGCGCGTTCGTTCGTCGTTGTCGTGCGTTGCTCGTTTCGTCGCATTTCGTTTTTCGTTTCTCGCTCGTCCGTTGTCGTTCGTCGTTGTCGCGTTGCCGCGTACGTTACGCGCAATATACCGTACGCGACCGATAAGCGAACCGGCCGAATGGATAAGCGAGGTTTATGCTTTCGTCGATCGTTCGTCGACGATTCGCCGCCGTATATTTAGTTTTCTCGTCGTCTTCGTCCCTCGAAAAGAGAAAAAGGAAACGTCGTGGCGACCACACACTAGGTGCTATCGACCGACTTTCATCGATTTCGGCGTCGTGACACGGTCGTTCTGACACGTTTGACGCTTACGTTCGTCGAACGGTATACATGTATTCGCCAACGAAAGGTACTCGATTGTAAATAAAAATCGCGAGTCGATTCGTAATCGACGTAGATTTCTACGGTAGACTAGTTTTAGAGGCGTGTCGACGATTTGATCGACCGATAGATCGCGCATGGAACGCGGCGAATCCAAGGCGCGCGAACGACCTATCCGCTTCGAAGAAATGTCAGCTTTTTTGTACAGTTCCTGTATGATTAGTTTTCCGACGCGCAATAAAGAGAATAGCTTTCGACCTCGTCTTGTCGTTTGTCGAAGGAGAGACGCGTCGTCCTTCGAAGCGTTGCGCTACCTCCCGCTCTCGAACCTGTCGCCAACGTGGATTTCTCCACGATGCTCGGTAAATATTGTCTTTTCGCGGTCTGACGACCCGGCTGACGTTCGCGCGCCCCTCATACTCTCTCACGATCTCTCGTGGTCTCGTTGCACCGTGTGCGCGCCATCAGTCCAACCCTCGACGTCCTGCTGGACGAACCCCGCCGAGCTCTCTCGTCCCTCTTGTCTTGTTCTCGCGTCTTTGCTTCTCTCCTCGCTTCCAAATATTCCGCGCTGTCTGCGATTCTCCGCGGGAGAAAGATGGGTAAGTGCTCGACGTACGATTCGCCCGATCGAGAACATCGACTAATTCGATTGCTTGTCGCGGATCGCAGGAAGAACGCTGCCGACGCCGGTTGCTTGCAAGGTTTGTGGCGACCGATCTTACGGGAAACATTACGGGGTTTACTGTTGCGACGGTTGTTCGTGTTTCTTCAAGCGGTCGGTGCGTCGCGGCGCTCTATTCACCTGCATAGGTTCGCCAGATTTCTCCTCTTTTCCTACCGTACCGTAATTCCAGCTGATCACGGAGATCCACCGGATCGTCTCGCGATTCCGCCCCTTATTTTTTCAGCCGGAACCGGAGCGTGCTTCGTCGACAAAGCGAGACGCAATTGGTGTCCGTATTGCCGCCTGAACAAGTGCTTTACCGTTGGCATGAACACGGCAGGTAAGCATAATCGAATCGACTTCGATCGCAAACGCAAGTACGCCGCCCGCTACGACGTA